ATAAATTTTTTAATTTAATGTTACTCAAATAAAAGTTGCTAATTATACGCTTGCAATTTTCCATGTTTTATATTTTAAGCAATAAAATGAGATTTTATTTTAAATTTAATTTTATATTTTAATTTTATTTTACTTTTGTTTTCGTTTTTGCGGGTTGTTTTCGTTTCTGTAAAACGAAATTTGATTGCTAATACGAAAAATAATTGCACTGTATTTGTAATTAATATTCCATGTAACATGTATGAACAGGAATTAAGAATGTTTCGTATCCGCATATATTTATTATTTATGTGCTGAGACGCTGTTGCGGCTCAACGTCGTTGTTTAGTTTGCTTTTTTTTTTTCAATGAAAATATAAATATATTTTTTTTTTGCTGTGGCAACCAGAAGCCGCCATTCAAAACTATTATAGTATTCTCAGCTTAAATATATTCTCATCAATTTAAGAGCACATGTATTTTGCTTTTTTTTATTTTTTATTTTCCATTTTTCTTTGTTTTATGTATTTAATAGTATTCTTTCTTGGAATTTTTGCATATGGTAAGACAACTCAGCCATGGGCTCGCTCGACCCTTTCAAGTGGCTGTCATTTCTAGAAACCTTTATTACGACAAATTTATTCAATCTTTTTTTGTTAGATTTAGTTACACTTTTGATACAGATACCTATTGCAGGTTCTAGTTTACCATTTTAGCCTCCAAAAGGACTATGTAAGAATCAGTATTCCCTAATCCGCTACTGTGACGGATTACGGATTACTGATTCTTACATTCAAGAGCACACACGCACGGTGGCTGCGCCACTGTGTGTATGTACCCTTGAATTAACAGGGAATACCCTTATTTTTAATCATATACGTAGTCGCTGCTCATAAAGTGCGTACATTTCGTGAAATTGCTTCGCAAGCAAAATACTGTGATTGATTGTTCTCAAATCGTTTTTTGTTTATAATAAAAATAGGATTATTATTTAGAGATAAGTGAATAATCTAAATAAGTTATTAGTATTATTTTCATAGTAGTAAAGATTTATAAAAAGAAATAAATCATTAAGAAAACCTTTTATCTTTCAAATTAACGAAATAATTCAAAAATCAACTTTTTTATTTACCTCTTTAAAACCCAGATAAATCTTACCCTTAATTGGGCAGAACTTGATTTGTCTATTTCTGATATGCAATTACAATTTCCAAATAATCGGAGAAAATTCTAAAAAATTACTAATGATTATAGCTCTTTTTCATTAAAAGTTTATAATTAATATGTACCTGAGATGTTTTAAATATTTCAATAGCTTTTAGTAATTTGTATTAATATTGGTTTAATTTACTTAAATATTTTGAATCAGCAGAAAGAAGAAAAATTTCACGCTAAATTCTTAGAAATAAATTTTCCGAGAAAAAATTGTTTATTATTTTCAGTCAAATTAGTTTCTTTATCTGAATCTTTATTTAGTAGCAAATAACATAAATAGCTTTCGACTTTCAAACAGTATTTTGAGGGAAAATGAAGCTTTTTGTATATGGAATGAAAATTAATTTTTTTATTTAATGCAATAAATATTTTTTTAGAAACATGTTCTCAAAAAAGAAAAAAGTCTGAAGCACAAAATAGAAAAAGGAAATTGCAACGAGAAGACGCTAATCAGAAACTGGCGGGATTTCTAAATAAATACCTCAGAAACAGAATAGGATTAGACGGACATGCAATAGTAATAACGAAAATATTTAAGTTGTTTGAAACCATAGCAAAATTTTACCCAATAATCGCTGAACATCTATACAAAATTCAAACATCTCAAAAGAAGAACATTGCTCATTACTTAGGGGATCAAATTCAGAATGAAATTATAAGCATTTTTTCAGAAGGAATTAAAAAGCATTTATTATATATGATTAAATCGTCAAAATATAAATATTCTGGATACTACACCTGATGTCAGTCATACCGAACAGTTGACTGTTGTAATTCGATTTGTGCATAAGAACGGGGAAACAAATAAAGCACAAATTGAAGAACATTTTTTTTAGAATTTCAGTCTGTCGACGACACAACTGGACAGAGTCGGTTTGAATTCATAAATGCATATTTAAAATCGTTAGAAATGAATTTAACAGATTTACGAGCCCAATCTTATGATAATGGTGCTAATATGACAAAAATGCACAAAGGATTGCAGCAAAAAATTGTTGAAAATAATTCAAAGGTACTCTATATACCCTGCTCTGCCCATTCTCTAAATTTAGTCGTAAATGATGCAGCTTAAATTTCCTTCGAAACAGTTAATTTCTTCGGACTAGTGCAGGAGCTTTACAGCTACTTTTCTTCATCTGTTAAACTTTGGTCTATTTTGCAACAGTACGTTGAAAACCTAACTCAAAGCCACTCTCCATCACCAGATGGGAAAGGGGAATTAAAGCTTTAAGACCGTTGAAAAACGATTTGAAGGGAGTTTTGAGAGCGTTAATAAATATTCAAGAAGATAAAACATGAGACATGGAATCAAGAACTCAAGCAAAAATTTGATTCAGAAGGTTTCCTCGTTTAAATTCATTTGTTCCCCATCAAGTGGCTGTCATTTCCATTAACATCTGGCACGTATTTTAAATTTAGTAAATGTGGTAAATGAAATAATGCAAAATTATAAATGTGATAATACAAGTCGTGACTGACAATTTACATCTTATATCAGAACTAAATAATCGTAGATCAGATGAAGCGTATGAACATGCAAGTATCATTGCTGATGATTTGGGGGTGGATACTAATTTTCCAAAAAGTCGAAACAGATTTAAAAGAATTACTTCAAGATGAAAAAACCGACAAACCAATCTACAATCCAAGACAAAAATTTAAGGTTGAATTTTACAATATAATATTAGACACTGCTATTTCTTCAACTACTGAAAGATTCAGAGTTGAACATTACAATTACTTAAAAGTAGAACACTATATACCTAATTTAAAAATCTGGAATGGCAATGAAATTTTAAAACATTGTAAGGGATTAGAACAAGAATTAACGGATACTAAAATATTAATGAAAGGACATTGATGGATTAAATTTGTTCGAAAAAAAAAATAAAATCTTCGCGATGTTTTACCAAAGAGGACATGCCACCTTTTGATGTTTTAAATTATATTTATGAAAACAATCTTACCGATACATTTCCAAATATTACAATAGCTTTACGGATTTCTTTAACCTTGCCAGTTTTGGTGACTACTGGAGAATGATGTTTTTCAAAACTTAAAATAATAATAATAATAATAATAATAATAAAAAAAAAAAAAAAAAAAAAAAAAAAAGCTACATGCGATCTACCATGGCGCAGAAGAGATTATCGGGCTTGTCAATTATATCCATAGAGAGCGAAATTTTGGGTAAATTAAATATAAAGGAATTGATACGCGTATTTGTAGCTGGTAAAGCTAGGAGAATCAATATTTGAATACATTTTCTAATTTTTATATTTTACTTAAAACATGCTTTATCATTGTTTTGTTTTTAAAATTTATGATATAGTAATAAAAAATATGACAAACGTGTTTTAATATTATAATTTTAAATCTTTTCAGTTCGAAAGTCAAATTCTGAATACTATAAAATAGTATTTCACATATAATTTGCAGCACTTTATAAGTGTGCCACAGAACCCCATAAAGAGACGCCAAATTTCAATTTGAACAAGAGCGCCTAATATCCACGCTGCGAATTTGCATACACACAGGGAGTAGACAAAAATATGGAAACACCGAAATAAAATAAAACTGCAGTGACTAATATGGTGTAGGAAAGCCTCTGGCATTCAAAACAGCTTGCAATCTTCACAGAATGGACAAATAGAGGGTCCTGCATGGTTTCTCAGAGAATCTTGTACTATTCTTCCCGCAAAATATTGGCAACTTTAGTTAATGACTATGATAGTGAATAGCACTCACGCAGATCTCTCTCCAGAATAACCCACAAAGGCTCATTAATATTGATATCTGGTGACTGTGGTGGCCATGGTAGATCTGATAGTTCAACCTCATACTCAGGAAAACAGTCTTGGACGATGCGAGCTGAGTGAACAGGAGCTCTATCATCTTGGATTACGGCATCAACAATGGGAAACAAAATTTGTACCATGAGATTGACTTGATCAGCAAGAAAGGTCAAATAATAACAAAATATGAAGCACTGATAGTTTCAGTCACAGAATCAGTATCATCCAGCATCCATGGCTCTTCTCTGGGAATTTTTGAATTTTGAGTACTTGTTCTTGCCGAAGATTTCTCGAACTTATTTAATGATACTTAACTTCAGTAAGTGGACTGTAATATTAACAATAACAAATTTATATTAACAAAAACAACATTATTGAATACTAGCACACGCATGTGTTTATAGTATGTACAGTATGTGTTACAGTATGCACAGTATGCGTATAGTGTTACAGTATGTAACTCAGCTAAAAAGCGAGCAACCATATGCTCTTACATCAATTTGAACAAGTCAAAAATCATACATAATAATAAGACAAAAACGAAATAACTTTAGGGTTACACTAAAGCCAAACTCTGCTTGGCGTAAAACAATGTTGCCAAGCAATACTCTTTCAGACACCGAACAGTACTCTATAACAGTATCTCAACTCTTTATCTCGTGCTGTTTTTTTCCATGTTCCACTGTCCGTCCTGCACACGAACACAATTTAATCCGTTTAAAGCTGACGAATAATAGTAAGGTTGATACGGTCATAGAGTATTGCATTTTGTTCTCCATTATGTTTTCATCCCGCAGATATTCTCAGATTTGCAAAATCGCTTTAAAGCGCGTTTCTTGGCCACTCGAAAAAACGTATTGGGCTCTCTGGCATTTCAGGCATAGTAATGCCTGAAATGGCATGTACGGAACATACGGAAATAAAAACAAGAACATACCTGCACTCAGTAACGCTCTGAGTAGATATCGCATCTTTATATCCGAAATATTCAATTCAGCTATTCTTTAACGTTTTAGCGCAAGAGGGCAAGTCTATCAAATACAATATTAAATTTGTTTAAGTGTTCTTCAAATGTATTAGAAGCTATAACTATGTCATCAATATAAATACCTATTTGTAAAGGCGAAAGATTTGCCAACACAATTGACATAAGTCTTTGAAAGAAACTAGGAGCGTTTCTCAAACCGAAAGCAACACGTGTCCAATGATAATGACCAGAAGGTGTAGTGAAAACACTTTTATAGGTGTCTTCAGGGTGTATTTTCATTTGGAAGAACCCTGAGGTTAAATCCAACGTAGAAAAATAAGTAGCATTCGCTAAACCCTCAATAAGTTTAAACATGTTTGGCAGAGGAAACGAATCTTCAACAGTCTTTTCATTCAATTTTCTAAAATCTGTAACCAAACGATAACTACCATCTTGCTTCCTAACCAAAATAACAGGTGCAGAATAAGCACTATCACTTTCCTCTATAATTTTAGCCTCTAACAACTCAGCAATTTGTTTATCTAACTCTTGTCTTAAATGATAAGGAACTCTGTAAGGTTTCTGTCTGACAGGAATATTGTCCTTTAAATTGATATTATGCAAAATAGTATCACAACCAGTAAGTTCAGTAACTGAAGAAGCAAAAATATGCTTATACTTGTCTATGAGACTCATAAGTTCATGTTTCTGTTGTTCAGGTAAATGACTTAAGTCAAACTGACCTCCCCAGGGTTCAAACTGATCACCAGTCTCAAGACTCGTTGAAAATACTGGCTGAATATCAGGTGTACTGGCATTAACAGGAGCCAAAGTGGCTAATTTCATACCTTTGTTGATGTGTATGAAGTCAGGAGAAAAATTTGCAACCTTAATGAAAAATTCATTACTATCATGTTTACTATTGACTGAACGTGCTACACAAAATTTAGAGTGCTGATGGTGAGTGAGAGGTTCAATAAGAACAGAAGACTGAGAAAAGGGTAAAAGAGAAGATGAGACTTTGAGAATATTCTCAGAGAAAGGAGGAAGTTTATGTTTTGTCACAGAGTAGCAAAAGATATCATTAGGAGGGTTAATAGGAGATGAAGTACAATTATTAGAAACATCAGCATTTGACGTAGACTTGTGAAGGTGCAAAGGCACTAAAATGTGTTGACCTAGCAAATTAGATGTATTAAAATCAATACACAGTTTGTTTAAAACTTAAAAATGTAGTTCCTAACAGTGCAGCATACTGATCAGACAAACTATCAATAATGAGAAATTCAGTTTCAAAGATCTGATCTTGAAATTTAACAGGCAAAGTGGCCTTCTTGTTAACTAACACCTTGTTGCTTGAAATCCCTTTTAAATAAACTTCACAAGGTTGAACTTTTAGTTTCTTTCCAAAACACTGACAGTATTTAGCATTTAACAAGTTAACAGTAGCTCCTGAATCCAAAAGAAATTTAAGTTTATTTCCCAAAATCGAGCCATTCACTATTGGAAGAGGTGCTTCACCTAAAGAAACTGAATACACTGAAGGTACCTTCAAAAGGGCTTCCTGGGATGAACTGAAGGTTTTGCTCTCCCTACCCCTAACTAGTTTAAATTCTGGCTAAAAACAGGAGCCTGAGGATTTAACTGAGTCATGTTGCTTGTATTAGCCTGACCTGGAACCTGTTGTGTGTTAGGTGTTACTCTAGCATTACCTTGCTGGCTAGCAATGTTACGTGAAAACTGTCTCGCTCTGACATTGTTGTTAGGAACCTGAGATAAATTCACCATACAATTTCTAGCTATGTGACCTAACCTATTACATCTGTAACAACGAGGACCTACTTGTCTACTATTAACTGTAGACTTAGACATCAATGACTGTACTTGTGTTTGCAAATTTCCTAACATGTTAGTCAAAGTAACAATGTTCTCTTGCTGTGCCTTGATAGCTGTAGTTAGTTCGTCTTTTGAACTATTAACCTGTGCAGCCTTAACTGTGACACGAGGAGTGGAAACTGCATTAACTTCAACAGTGTGCACATTGTTAAACTCATCTGCATGAGTCTTAACCAAAAACTCTTCTTCAGCATGTCTTTTAGCTGCTGCATATGTTTTGTGGTTCTGAGGTAACAACAATCGCCTCAAATGTAAATGGAGACCTTCCAGAAAAACTGACAAAAGTAAATCAAGTCTCTGACTCTTCACAGTTGGATCTTCAATTTTATCCAATGGCACAGTTTTACATGAAAGTGCCTCTATTCTAGCAGCAAACTGCCTAACTGTCTCTCTAGGCTTCTGAAAAGCCTGAATTAATGCTCTAATATGAGCATGCAAATTGTGCAATGTCGAAAACCTGTCCTTTAAGGCATCCACTACAGCAACCAAGTTGCTCTCATTCTTGAGACGAGGATTACTGCGAATAAAAGCAGCCGCCTCACCCTCCAATTTTACTTTAATGGCAGTCAACTTATCAGAATCAGTCCAGCCAACATGTGCTGCAACTAAATTAACTCTGTCAATAAAATCACTAAGCTGTGTAGAACCTTCACCTCCACTAAAAGTGGGAATAGACACAAGGGGATCAGCCCCCAAAACTGATATTCTACTAGTAGTAGGCTGTGTAGTCTGATTCCCAGTAGAATTGTTATTTACCGCCATTCTGGTAGGTGCTCTGGTATTCTTCCTTACTAATTTATGAATTACAGGCATTGTGAAAGTTAAACTGATAAACCATGTAAAAGTGTAACAGCAAAATAATATGTGTAACCTTAATTAAACACAATTTTCATCACAAAGCATAACAGTAATCAAAACAGTAAACAAAAGCAATTATGAAAATCAAAACTTAACTAATTAAGCATTTAATTAAATTTACTGCCACCACTACTAGCACAGAAATTTTTAAGTACACTGGACCAACTAAAAGCACGGCACCATTATTATGTTATATAAAACAACATAAACACAATACTTAATAATTACAAATGTGCACCATATCTGTGAAACAACTAGAGCAAAAGTTCATTCTGGGTTATGAGGTAGGTAACTTGCGTGTAAGTCACTTAACTGTACATATCAATCAATATTGTAACAATAACATACTAAGTATTGTGAGCAGTCATAGTGAAACATAAATACAAAAATGTAAACAATTCTTAAAATTCCAAGAAGTTGCGTTGTGTTAAACAAAACCCATTCTATGTTTAAGGTCCAGTGTAAAAGATAATTACAATAAATACAAAAACAGGAGAGAGAATAAAATCAACTTACGTTTATTTAAGGTAGGAAAATATTATGATTACAAAACATAAAAAGAGAGTCATGACCTTCACTAAACATTACAATTAAAACGTGGTGGCTGGATCAATTAAAGAACTAATTTGAAAACAACAGAAAAGGATGACATACCCTTCTTTCCTACATTTCTAATAAATGTGAGATTTATAATATAATAATAATATATAGATAAATAATAATTATTCCTACATTCTAAGTGAGAGACTTCAGCGTGGGCTAATCGAATTGCTTGTAATAGTTTTGGTGTTAAATCGAATGTTAGCGCAATTATTTAACAAGGCATTGTACCCCTTATTTCATATGGATGTAGAGCTTGGGGATTGTCTCTAAAAAAGAAAAATTAACTCTAAACGCCTGCTTCGAGTTCAAGACGAATTTTGCTGCGAGTTATAAGCGGTTACCGAAACTATTAGTTACAAATGCTGTTTTCTCTCTTGCCGGATTTCCACCACTGGATTTTGTTTATTCTGACTTTTATAGATTATAAGAATAGTCTTGCAAATTACTCCAATTCTCACTTTGGTCGTTTATTGCCCTTGTCTGTTCTACCCACATCCTTCTGTAAGACAACCAGTACAGATTCTGGATAGTACGGACACTGATGTTAATTCATTCTCATTTGTGCTGTATACGGATGGTAGTAGGATGATGATAAAGTTGGTTTTGCTTATGTTATTTTCAAGATGATATTGAAATTGAGTGTCACCAATTTCGCATTAGAAATGAATGTACTGTATATATTTCTGAGCTTCTGTATATTAATTTTGCAAGTCAAGTGGATAATTAAGCCAAGGAATGGACGTGGTTCTAGCTACTTAATCTGTACGGATTCACTCTCTTCCCTGAAATCTCCTTAAAAATACCTCTTTATGTAATGGTATTATTGTTAATGTACAGCAGTCTCTCGTAGATCTGAAGAAGAAGGGTATTTGAGTGTTTCTTTACATTTGTCCATGGTCATTCGGTTAATTATGGAAACGAGAGATAGCTGACTGGCTTGCTAAGAATGCAACTAAAAATTATATTAATGTTGATGTAAATATTCCAAAATCTTATTTTAAAAAAACATTCAAAGCTAAAATGATTGAGCGGTGGAACTGTGATTATATCTCTTCTGATAAGGGATCTGTTACAAAGCATTCTTCCCAACTATTTTTGAAAGACTGAAAGTAAGTAAGGACTTGTTGCTCAATTTTACGCAATTTTTGTCTGGACATGGTAAGTTTAATGTTTATCTGAACGATTTAAGCTGATATCTTCCAATTTGTGTAATTGCAATCTTAGCGTTGAGCAAAGTGTTTTCCACCTGCTTTTTGATTGCCCACTGCTTGATAAAGCAAGAAATCTTTTGAAATGTAGATTGAAATTCATTGGAATTCATTGGCCGCCGAAATGTTGTGATTTTGTATCCTCGATTTCGGCCTACCGAGCTTTCAATGATTTTGTTTGACTTTTATTTTAACACTGTTAATGATTTCTTTATACATTTTGATACTTTTTGTATTTACTTGTGTTTTTTTCCTTGTTATGATTTCATTGTATTGTTGAAAACTGATGATATTACTTACTATTCTGCCGTTTCACTTACGATTTGTAAGTCTCGTGCGATACTTTGTGGTGCACGAGGATTTCTTTTTCTTTAAATAAAGAAAAAAAAAATACCCTTCTTTAACATATTTGGGATCCATCATACAATTTAGTTTTGTTAGCGAACATTATTTCTCAAGGAAAACTTGGGATAGTATCTGAAATTAGAAAACAAAAAGGGTTAGATAGACGAGACTCAACAAAGCTATTGGTTCGGAGGCCAGGCTTCCCTCCTATTACTGCTTCCAATCAGCAAGACACAGGTCTTCCCTCCACAGGCCATCAAGACAGCGTAAATTTTAGGATGAAAATATAGATGTTGTAGCCTCTCTTCGGTGCTGGTTAATTTACGTTGCTACGTCTACAATGAGGCTCACCTCCGAGCTGCTCGCTCAAGTTGACATCTTTTATATTTTTCCTGAAATTTCTTTTTTCCGTCTCTCTTCTGTCGTCTCCGTCACTGTCCCCGTCTCCGCGAAGTCTCTCGAAAAACACTGCGCAGAAGTTTTAGTAGCTGGCGCGTTTTTTGAAAACTTGGCGTAGATGGTGACTAGAAGGAAGCCAAAAAAAGGCAACCCACACTCTGGATCTTTACGGGAAGGGGTTTCCCGACTACCAAAAGGAGCCGCTTCTCGCCATTCCATCGTTCAACTTCCAAGGCCACACCAATGTGTCATCACAACTGCAGGCGGAAACAGGGGGGGAAGAAACTAGCCTCGCTCCAGGGTCCCAGTCGATAATGCAGATCTTCTGTCTCAACGTATATTTTCCCCCACCATAAGTATGCTGTAGAACATCACCCTGTTAGCCTCGTCCAGCAAAACAGGGTCCTCTTTTCGTGAAAACCACATGGTAAAACTATCAAGCACTTCGCCCCCCACACATGGTGGAACGCATAGCAGAAAGGAATTTTGGGGTGCAGTACAATTGCTGATAAGAATTTCCGCTGAAGGAAAGAGGGCAAGGGGAGAAAATCTTTGAACTAAGTTAATACAAAATGACTTTGGGAAATTTAAAAAAATGAATCTACTAATTACACAACATTATAATTCATAATAAAATGTCAGCACTGTAATAATTGTTTCCTCAGCCACCAACTGAGACTAAACACAATTTATCCAAAAGAAATACAAATAGAATCAAATTATTTTTCTTCTACCGCCAGTCAGAAAAGTATGTATTCGTTTCGTTAAAAAAAGAGGGACACAAATTAAATTACTCAAGTTAAAAAAAAAAATTAACACACAAAGTGCAACAGCAAGTTTTAAAATTAAAATTAAAAAAAGTTAAACAACCTAAGGTCAAAAAACTAGAACAAAACAAAAAATCTTAAGTCCCTAAACTCAATTAAAATTAAACAACTTCAACTCGGAACTTTAAAAAGCAACCTAACCAAAATTTAAGTAAAAAATGTTACAATTTAAACTTACAACCAACTTTAAACAGAAAAAAAAAAAAAAAATTAGAATTTCAATTACAATCAAACTGAAAAAAAAAAAAAAAAAAAAAAAAAAAAAAAACCTTAATCTTAAAAAAATATATATAACGATTAATACATAACAGTTTTCAGTACATCTCGTAAGCAGTAGAAAGATCACTGGTAACCACCTAGTATCACTAGTAAGTCAGTAAGTACTAGAAAGATCTATAGTTGGAATCCAAGAAAGGTCTCTGTTGGTTTTCTGCGCACTACGGAAATTCCAGGAAGTGTTTCCTGCAGCGAACAGTTTAATAATCTTTTATAAATTTTGTAATATATGTTTCAATAAACAAAACAAAATCTCACTATTGCTTGTTAATATAATTGTTTATATTGCCTCTCAGAGCTGAAACTATCTTACAGATTTTAAGCTTTATTTTCTATCTATGCAGATTCATATGCTATATGGGTGCCAAAAATTCCTTTTGCTAGTAAATAGCTATGATTTCAAGAACATATATGACCATCGTAAGTATGAGATTCTTAAGGAAGACCTTAGACTGTTCATATGCTACTTACTTTATCTATGGTAACAAATATTCATCTTTATGATGCTTTTCTTCGTGATTTATTTCTGCCTTGTTATTCCATTTCTATCCACTTAGATACAGTTCAGTATTTTATTTCCATTACGCATACATTTATTTCTGTATTTTTAATTTTGTTCATCGTATCTTTATATTTACATACCTTGATTAATCTCTACCCTTTGCCGAGGGTAAAAATTAATTTGTCCTCCATTTATTCGTTGTAACTTCAAATCTTAAAGTGCTAGTTCTGTTTTTCTCAACACGTGATTTCTCATTCTGAACTCCTTTCTGAAGACTTTTCACTTGATGTCTTGTAAAGAGGTATTTGATGTAGCACAACAGCACGTTATGCAGAATGCAGGACAGAATATTTAAGCTTAAAATGGAATCATATGGAAATTGATAATCCTAGATGATAGCAGTAGCTTTTTATAAGTTCTTATTTGTTAACTAAATTAGGTCTTAATTTACCAGATATTAAGATAATTTGTTTATTTATGGTATTGCAATTCGTTTTACTCAATAAGTACTGAGCGAAGCATAAACTGAAATAGGCAAATTTTCTTGGATAAATACTGCTTGGTTTTGAAATCCTGTTCAAAATTTACTATGTGCAATTTATTAGGTTTTTTGGAGGAAGGTCGCATTTTAGACTAATCTAAAATTATTATAAATAGCAATGCATCGCACATTAATGTTATTAAACGTTTAATAATGTATTCCTTTCGGCATTGAATATCCATCCACTCTCTAGGCTTTAAAAA